TTATAAGTGAGAAGACACAATTAACAAAAACAATAAAACAATGATTTCGGAAGAACAAAAACTTAATATTTTAAGTAAATTGCAATATTCTAATTTGTTTTGTTTTATTTATTATTGTTTTAAATGTTTATTTAACAATTTTCCAAAATTTTTCATTTTACAAAAGTATTATTTACAAAAAACAGCTGTTCATTGTTTATGTTTTTGAGTGAAAAGTTGGCAATACTAACAAAGTTAACTGAACATAAATCCATAACTGAAAAACACAATCATCGATTAAAGTCCGCCTAAATTTGTTCCGAGTTTAATCTAACAGCAAGTTAAGCCTAGTTTAACTGAGTAGTAAGAAACCCGCCCTTAGTTACATATGTATGTATGTATATAGAAAATTATGTGCTTGTGTTTTAGAGGAAATGCATGTAGACAAATACACACATACATTGCAAATATTTACGAGAACTACATACTAAATACAAACCAGCAAAAGTTACAAATTCTATAATGTAATATTAGTTAAAGGCATTACATAGTTAAAGTTACACTGTGAGAAAACTAGATAATGAAATAAGAATTCTTTCAATTTTAAAAACCAAATATAGCATAACTCTTACAATGGGAATTACTATTGTAATAATAAAATCTCATATTTGAACAATACTCTTTTCGTTTGAGTTATAAGTTCTAGTTTAGGGTTTTATATTCTTGTCTCTATTCCAATAGCAATGTAGTGTTACTGTTTAAGCAAGTTTGTATTTCTGCTTACAACAACGACCAGGTAAACTTGTTATGTCTACATGCATCGGAGTATTTGGTAATGGGCGTAGTTTATGTTTATATGCATGTTAAACATACATGTTGATTTAGATTAATAATGATAAAACATGTAGCTAAAATATAAGTAGAGTAAATTTAACTTGACACAATTAGAAACAAGTGTCTACAGTACCTGATAGAAGAAAATTTCAAGCACTTTTTGGTAGAGGTAAAATTAAGTACTATAATGGTAAATAGAGAGCAATTTTTATAAAAATGACAAAAAAATGTATTCAGAATTTGACCAGATTTTTTAGGAAAAAGTTTTTGAACCTGAACAAAATTTCTTTATGAAATTTGAGTTAAATTTGTTTTGAATCTGAGTAAAATTTCAAATTTCTCAGAATCTGAATAAAATTTTTTTCGAAAATTTTATCAGAATCTTAATAAAATTTCTTTAGAAAATTTATCAGAATCTAAGAAAAATTTCTTTAGAAAGTTGCTCAAAATCTGAGTAAAATTTCTTCAGAAAAGTTGCTAAAAATCTGAGTAAAATTTCTTTAGAAAAGTTGCTCAAAATCTGAGTAAAATTTCTTTAGAAAAGTTGCTAAAAATTTGAGTAAAATTTTTGGAAATTTGCTTAGAATCTGAGTAAAAATTCTTCAGAAAATTTGCTCAGAATATGAGTAAAATTTCTTTAGAAAATTTGCCCAGAATCTGAGCAAAATTTCTCTAGAAAGTTGCTCAGAATCTGTGTAAAATTTCTTTAGAAAGTTTCTCAGAATCTAGGCCAAATTTTTTTTATAAAATTTGTTCAGAATCTGAGTTAAATTTTTTAGAATATTTGCTCAGAATCTGAGTCCAATTTCTAAAGAAAATTTGCTAAGAATCTAAGTCAAAATCCTTTATAAAGTTTTAGTAAAATTTCTTTAGAAATTTGCTCAGAATCCTACTAAAATTTCAACAGATAATTTGCTTAGATTCAGAGTACAATTTCTTTAGAAAGTTGCTCAGAATCTGAGTAAAATTTCTTGAGAAAATTGCTCAGAATCTGAGTAAAATTTCTTTAGAAAATTTGCTCAGAATCTGAGTAAAATTTCTTTAGAAAATTTGCTCAGAATCTGACTAAAAATTCATCAGATAATTTGCTTAGAATCTGAGTAAAATTTCTTCAGAAAATTGCTCAGAATCCAAGTAAAATAAATTTTCAAAAGAAATTTCATCAGATAATTTGCTCAGAATATGAGCAAAATTTCTTTAGAATCTGAGTATTTTTTTTTAGAAAATTGGCTCAGAATCTGAGCAAAATTTCTTTAGAAAGTTGCTCAGAATCTGAGTAAAATTTCTTTAGAAAGTTGCTTAGAATCTAAGCAAAATATCCTTAGGAAATTGATCAGAATCTGACTAGAATTTCTTCAGAAAATTGGTCAGAATCTGAGAAAAATTTCTTTAGAAAGTTGCTCAGAATCTGAGTAAAATTTCTTTAGAAAGTTGCTCAAAAAATTTCTTCAGAATCTAAGAAAATTTTCTTTAGAAAATCTTTAGAAAACTGAATAAAATTTCTTTAGAAAATTTTCTCAGAATCCGTGTAAAATTTCTTTAGAAAACTTGCTCAGAATTTGATAAAATTTCTTTAGAAATTTGTCTTAGAATCTGAGCAAAATTCGCTCAGAATCAGAGTAAAATTTCATTAGACGATTTGCTCAGAATATGAGACAAAAAAACGGAATTTGAGTAAAATTTCTTGAAGTTTCCTTTAGAGAAGTTGTTCGGAATTTGAATGAAGTTTCTTTTTAAAAGTGAGGTAAATTTGAGTCAGAATCTGACTATATTTACCGAAGAATATATAGTACGAATCTTTTATAACTATTTTTTATTCCTAATTGTCTATAGAATTTTTGTTATATTATACTCCCCATTGGCTAACTCCTCATGGAAATATTTCTGCTAAATAAAAACTTTTGACTGTATACATCAACTACCTAAAAAATGTTATGTAATCCAGGAAATTCCCATTATCTAAAAAAGAAAAATTCTGAATATGAATATTCATAGTACAACTATAGTAGAGAAGATAAATCTAGTATTTGATGTTGAGCGAAGGATTTGAATGAATGAATGAATAAACATACCCACACACATACATAATATACTCAACAACAATAAAACTAAACAAAAACTCCTCAATAGTAGTAGTAGTAGTAAAAATAAATTGCCGTTACAAAAACTATTATTTGTGACAAAGGAAAACTAACTATGCATACAATTCAGTAGAATATTTTTCTGTTAAACATTTCTGACTGGCCACAAAAAAGAAAAATTAAATAAATATTGTATGTACTCTGAAAAAGAGCAAATATAAAATTATGACTTATTTTTGGACAATAATATACCAAAAAAGAATAACCCGAACCGAAATAGCTAACCAAAATATACTCAAGTTGACAAGCTATTGTTAAAAACAGAAAAAGAGAGAGTTCACAAAAAAGGCCAACAACCCAATTGTTAATAACACTTCCGTTTTAAAAGGATGGCAGGCCATTTATAGACTCACATACCCATATAATATATATATTTTTTTTAGGACTTCAAGTTTTGGGGTAAACATCATAAATAAGTTTCTAGTAATAAATGATATAAAAGTAATCAAAGATATTTTTTTTCATACAAAAAATTTCTTTATTAGAGATTTTTTTCGCAACCATTTCTACCACTTTTTTTCTCTTGTTGTATTGAACTGCTTTTGTGCGGGAGGAAAAAAATTTAACATGTTACACGAACCGGAAAAAATTTTGATTTCAGCAAAAGAAATGACCTTTTAAAATTTGCTTAAGCAATTTTATTGAAATATTAAACAATAAAGTCTCCTGGGATCCAATTATGATGAAAAGTATTTTTAAACCTCATTATAATATGTGTGCGGGTGTATTAGGACTTTGATTAAATGTGTAATGATTTTTTGAATTTATTTAAAATTTTCATTTGCTAGAGGTTTAAAGAAAAAGGAATCAATGTTTTTAGAAGATTTAGTGAAAGTGGGAATATGTTTCGTACTGAAAGGCTTTTTTAAAAACTATTTTTAAAAAATTTTCCAAGTTCTCTAAAAAGATTCTGAGCAAATTTCTAAAGAAACTATACTCAGATTCTTTAAATAATTTTTTGAGTCGATTGTCTGTCTGTATATCTGTCTGTCTGTCCGTCTGTCTGTCTGTCTGTCTGTCTGTCTGTCTGTCTGTCTGTCTGTCCTTCTGTCCGTATGTCTGTCTGTCTGTCTGTCTCGTATCTCGACAGACACTCGTATCTCGACAAAAAGCTGCAAAACCAAGTTCTGTATTAGCCCTAATGGCCCTGATGAGTTTTACAATAATAGGGCCTCATTTAACCCCATCCCCTATACAAAGCCCGCTTCTAAATATGACTTAAATATCCAAAATTTTATTCAACAATAAATGGCTTAAGTACACTTGAGCCAAGAGGTACAATTCAACTTAAATGCTTTATTATGAAAATTAAACCACATTTTATTATTATAACTGCTGTAGGGTATTATATGGTCGGCCTCGTCCGACTATAATTTCTTACTTGTTTTAATTTGTGCAATTGATCTTCCAAACTAAGATATTAAAGAAATCTCAAAAATCCCTAGAGCAGTATTTGAATAATATTTAAAATTACTAGACCAATTCAGTTGCTTTCAATCATTTATTATTGACTTTGTAAGATTACAGAGAATATTATACACATTTCCCCGAAATTATCCACAATTTTCAAAAGAATTAATTTTTTCTTTTAAAATATTCTTCAGCCAATGTTATTGACTTTATCATTAATTTCTTGTAATTTCTTTCATTTTATTCACAATATACATACAACCATTTATACACCAGAAATATAAGAAAAAGTAATACAAATTAACATATATTTATTATTTCTTCAGCAATTTTCTTTCAATTATTTTGAGTCAGAACGACGACGAGTACTTACGAATTCTTATTACAAGCTCTTCCTTGGCTCTTAGACTATTCGTCTTAACTCATCATTATTTACCAATATCATCAGCACTTTCATTAAACTTTGTATGATGATTGTATTTACTTATTTTATTACATTTCACATTTTTTTGGGGGGAGGAGGGAAGAAATGACAACAAAAACTCCATCATTTTCAGTTATATTTTTTCCCCAATTTTTATACGCAATTCTTTGGCACGAAAATAATGTACATGTTCGTTGTGAATTTATTTACAGATATGATTTAATGGCTGGCGTAACACGTGCTGAGGCGTTTTTCTCCTTCAATTCGGGTGATGTTCAATATGGTATTGAAGCTGATAGACGTTCAAAAATCTTAAAGGCCTACGTGCGCAATACATACACGTATCATTTGAATGAAATATTTGCAACGATTGTTAATGAGTATACGGATTGGGAGAGACCAGTACAGCATCCAATCAATATCAGGTAAATCGACAAATTATTTTTTATTAATAATAAAATTTCAAGAGGGAAAATAATTATGATTTTTTGTGTAAGTCTTATTAACAAGGTTGGTTAGGAGAATTTTGTTAAAAAAAAACTATCAATAAATTGAAATCTCATTACTAGAAAAGAAATTATCATAGCCTGTTCAGATTGCCTTCTTATAAATTTTTCCTTATTTTGGTGGTGATGATGATGTTGTTTAATAGCAGCATCCCCCGCTTTGGTTATTTATGGAAATTATACAATTGTATGTATTAATGCGTGTAACAGGTTATAATTGTTATTTTCAAATATCTTACGATGGAATTTAATTAAGATTTCGCTTTGATGTAGTATGAGTAATATGGATTTGTGTTTTCATTATTGCTCATACGTAACGAAGGGTCAATTAAGATTTCTTTTCTCATTAAAATTTCATTACTATACTGAAATTCTTCAAATACTTAGATGTCAATATAAGATAAGAATTGATAAAGAAATTATTACTGTTATTCAATTATGTAACACATTTTTTTTAAAGATGTTTTTTAACCTACATATAGAGTGGTCTAGAGTCTAGTCTATAATCTAGTATATAGTATAGTCTAGTCTATAGTCTAGTCTATAGTCTAGTCTATAGTCTAGTCTATAGTCTAGTCTATAGTCTAGTCTAGTCTATAGTCTAGTCTATAGTCTAGTCTATAGTCTAGTCTATAGTATAGTCTATAGTCTAGTCTATAGTCTAGTCTATAGTCTAGTCTATAGTCTAGTCTATAGTCTAGTCTATAGTCTAGTCTATAGTCTAGTCTATAGTCTAGTCTATAGTCTAGTCTATAGTCTAGTCTATAGTCTAGTCTATAGTCTAGTCTATAGTCTAGTCTATAGTCTAGTCTATAGTCTAGTCTATAGTCTAGTCTATAGTCTAGTCTATAGTCTAGTCTATAGTCTAGTCTATAGTCTAGTCTATAGTCTAGTCTATAGTCTAGTCTATAGTCTAGTCTATAGTCTAGTCTATAGTCTAGTCTATAGTCTAGTCTATAGTCTAGTCTATAGTCTAGTCTATAGTCTAGTCTATAGTCTAGTCTATAGTCTAGTCTATAGTCTAGTCTATAGTCTAGTCTATAGTCTAGTCTATAGTCTAGTCTATAGTCTAGTCTATAGTCTAGTCTATAGTCTAGTCTATAGTCTAGTCTATAGTCTAGTCTATAGTCTAGTCTATAGTCTAGTCTATACTCTAGTCTATGATCTAGTCTATAGTATAGTCTATAGTCTAGTCTATAGTCTAGTCTATAGTCTAGTCTATAGTCTAGTCTATAGTCTAGTCTATAGTCTAGTCTATAGTCTAGTCTAGTCTATAGTCTAGTCTAGTCTATAGTCTAGTCTAGTCTATAGTCTAGTCTAGTCTATAGTCTAGTCTATAGTCTAGTCTATAGTCTAGTCTATGGTCTAGTCTATGGTCTAGTCTATAGTCTAGTCTATAATCTAGTCTATAGTCTAGTCAATAGTCTAGTTTATAGTCTACTCTATAGTCTAGTCTATAGTCTAGTCTATAGTCTAGTCTATAGTTTAGTCTATAGTCTAGTCTATAGTTTAGTCTATAGTCTAGTCTATAGTCTAGTCTATAGTCTAGTCTAGTTTAGTCTATATTCTAGTCTATATTCTAGTCTATATTCTAGTCTATAGTCTAGTCTATAGTCTAGTCTATAGTCTAGTCTATAGTCTAGTCTATAGTCTAGTCTATAGTCTAGTCTATAGTCTAGTCTATAGTCTAGTCTAGTCTAGTCTATAGTCTAGTCTATAGTCTAGTCTAGTCTAGTCTAGTCTATAGTCTAGTCTATAGTCTAGTCTATAGTCTAGTCTATAGTCTAGTCTATAGTCTAGTCTATAGTCTAGTCTATAGTCTAGTCTATAGTCTAGTCTATAGTCTAGTCTATAGTCTAGTATATAGTCTAGTCTATAGTCTAGTCTATAGTCTAGTCTATAGTCTAGTCTATAGTCTAGTCTAGTCTAGTCTATAGTATAGTCTATAGTCTAGTCTATAGACTAGTCTATAGACTAGTCTATAGTCTAGTCTATAGTCTAGTCTATGGACTAGTTTCTAGTCTAGTCTATAATCTAGTCTCTAGTCTAGTCTATAGTCTAATCTGATATTAGAGGAGAAGTCTAGTCGTTACTATACCTCTTCTATGTATTGCGGGCTGTATGTATTAGTCACTGAAAAGTAAGTTCTTGAGTAAGTAAGTCATTACATTATTTTCCTAAATATCGCGCCATATTCGGAAATTCAGTTTAAAACTCAATAATCTCCACCAAAGAACATACTCGTTAGTATTCTCAAATATAAAAAAGTTCTTATATTGATTGATTTACAAGTTACTGAATTTGTAATACCAACACTTTTTCCAATAAATATACATATACATTGCTTAATACTGCAATATAAAATCGTAGGAAAAAAATAACGTTCATGTAATTTCCTCTTAAAGTACCAACGACAATTTTCAAATAAAAGTGATAAAATCATAAAATCACAAAAAAAGAAAAACGAAACGAAACATGAAAAAAGTGCGAAAGCCAAAAAATTCTATAAAACCAATCAACTTTATATTTTGTACATGCCACATTTACACAAAACATACATAAACCTTAACACCAGCATAAATATATACATACATATGTATGTATGTATTGTATGTACTTACAGCAGCAGCACAAACAGCAGGCGAACAAAAAAACTTTTAACAATTTCCCACAAATTACAAATTTTACACACACTTTTCAAATGCCGCAACAATATATTTTGAACAACAAAAAAAAAGAACATTTATTTTTTCTCCCGTTTTTACCAATATAACCAAAATCAGCATCCTAGCAAACAAAAAATGAAAAACGTAATAAGAGTGACTTTCAACACCTTTTAATGGCAAAAATTTTATAGGGTGTTTACCAAATAACACACCCTAAAATAGACAACTAGTTTTGGTATTATTTAGTGTTTGTAGGAATTTATGTGTGTACTCTGTTAGTTTAGTTTTTTGTTGTTCCGTTATTGTTGTTAATATTTTGTCCTTCCTGCTTTCATCATTTAGGGTCCAAACACCTGTATTCGAACCCTTAGTGCTTTTATTTTATTTTTATTTCTCTAGCGTTTGTTTATTTTTAACCTCCTGTTTTCATTCATATTCGATATATGTATGTCTGATTTATTTATATTTAAACGGAAGTTAGATAAAAAAAATAAATTTTATATATTGGTATTTTTTACTATCTTCCAATAGTCTATAACTGATAATATTTCTGTGGGGGAAGAGAGAGAGAGAACAAAAGTAACTACAACGTTAGGATGTGACAAAATGTGTATTGAAAATATTAAAAATTTTGTACAGAGTGAAGGGTCATGAATGAAACAATAATGTAAATTTTTAAAGAAGTTATTAAAAGTGACAGATGTGAATTAGTTTTTGTTTCAATCCAGTTTATACTCTATCTGCAGGTTCTTCAATAGTTAAATATACACTGTCACAAAGCAGTGCTGTAACTTCTGGCTACGATTGGTTACTGGGAGGATTTCAGCTTTTTTGGTCAAAATGAGATAAAACCAGCTAGAAAGAGAAAACAACAACAACATATAGCTTGTTGTATTTAGTTCGATTGTTTATAAATAGAAACAACAAGAATAAGATGTTATGCAGTTGTTATTGTTTTCTAATTGTCATAATTAACGGTAGTCAGGGATGAATGATTGCGTATGATAAAAAAGCAAAAAATTTCAAAGAGGTTCAGAAACTCCATATTATCGAATACCGATATCTTGGCCTGTTTTTATCTATTTTGTATACTTGTATAATAGTCAGCCTGTTCAAGGCAAGTTTTTGTACCTACTAAAAAATCACTAAATATGTATATTCAATACTTTTTCAACCAAACTTTAATAAAATGCAAAATATAAACGTAAATTTAAACTTATCAATTGGTAAGTGGTTAACAATCGGTGGCAGGTTAAAAAATATATAAAAACCACAATTTATTTTTAAGGTTTGAAAAGGTACAGTGATAACGTCATTGTAATAATGAGGTTTTCGTACTGAAATAGTAAATTTTAGAAATTTGTTAATAACTTTAAAGATTTACTAACTTACTCAAAACGATTTATCAAAGGGTTATAGAAGAAATTTTGTATGAAAATCTGTCTAATAAACCTCTGACAAGTTGTTATGAATAAGGACCTTAAAATCTAGAGAAAATTTTAAAAGTTTCTTCATTATACTACATCACTTTAGTGGCCACCTTAAAGTAAACCAATCGGCTTAGAATCATTTTCTGAGTCGATTTAGCTATGTTCGTCCGTCTGTCCATACATCCGTCTGTCCTTCCGTCCATCCATCTGTCCGTCTGCAATTTTGAAGATAATTCTATGAAATTTGGCACTTGATCTTTTCTTATCCTAGAGAAAATGGATAAGATCGGTCCATTATTTCACCTAGACACCATACTACTAAACCCCCAAATAGGGCTTGTCAACCTTGTTATCAAACTACAGGTCGCTATTTTGATGATAATGCAATGAAATTTGGCACATGATTTTCTATTATATTACAGGCGAAGCCTATTGAAAATGGGTTTCGGTCTATTATTTTACCCAGCCCCCATACATCTGACATGTTTAATAATACTAGCCTTGATGACCCGGATGAATTTTGTATTGATAGAGCCTCCTTTGACCTTATCCCTTATACAAAACCCCGTTCAAAATATGACTTAAATGTCCAAAATTTTATTCAACAATACATGGCTTAAGTATATCTGAGGCAAAGTACAATTCTACTTAAATGTTTTATTATAAAAACTAAATCACATTTTAGTTTTATAACTCGTGTAGGGTATTAGACAAGTGTATATAAATAACTGTTTAAGCTGTACTCCAGAGCTTAAGTAATCATATAAAAAAAGTACATAATTGGTCCTAATATATGTGTATGTAAACCGAAACCAACATATATGGGCAATATCATGTCAAGTGAGCCAACTCAAAAATCGATTTTGATGAAATTTGCACCAAATTTAGTACTATTGGAGAGTAGGCCAGAGACGAATTTTCAGCTCTAAAGTTAGACACTTTGCTTATACAGGGTTTTATTCAAATGAGTGTAACTATTCTCCTATTGTTGTTAGCAAACACTGTCCAAAGGAGTTCAGATAGCAATTTCTTCATAGTTTTCCAAAAAAAAAATTTCATTCCAAATCGTTAGCAATATGATAACATTTATACCTGGTCCAATCAGTTTATATAGTGCCACTTTCCGAAATTTATTTTATCTTTGCAACATATGATTTGATAATGGGTAAAGAGTGGACATAGAGTGAGCCGAATTTAACACTTTTAATTGTTATCTTTTTATTCATTGTTAAGGATTAAAAGTATATTCATGCTTAAAACTATTAAAACCTAAAAAAAAACGAATATAACATTTATCGCGTTAAAGTGTTTAAATGCTTGAAATGTTGGCATTTAAATAACAGTTTAATACTATACGTTATCGTTAGTTTAAATTTCGTCATGTTTGTTAATTTTTTTTTTCTAGATTTTTCTTTCATTTATTTAAAATTTTTATTGAATATACATTTTTGTGGTTATTTATTATTATGTCATTTCTGGCCATGCTCTACATTGTTGAAAACTTTCCAATTTTTATTTCTTTATTTTTATTTTTTCACCATGTTGTTTTATATATATTTTTGCGAATATAAGGTTTTTGTTGTTTTAATTTCTGTTGCACTGTTGTTAATGTACGCCATGAATACTTAAAATTATTGTTTAATTTTTAGAAATAATTCAATAGAAACTCAATTTAAATATTGTGTTATGTATGTGGTAAAAATTAAATTGAAAAAAATTAACACTGCAAAAAAACTATGACATGAAAATTTAATTGATTTAATAACTTGAGTTTTTTTACAATTTAAATGGTATAAAATAATAATTTTGTTTGTATAAAATGTGAGCTAAAAAAAATATAATTTAATTTAATACTAAAAACAAGTGGAAAACAAGTAAGAAATTATTGTCGGGTGAGGCCGACCATATAATACCCTATACCACTTACACATACAAAATGTGATTTAGTTTTCATAACAAAGCATTTTAGTTGAATTGTACCTTGCCTTAGATATACTTTAGACATTTATTATACCCTCCACCACCATCAGTGGTGATAGAGGGTATATATAAGTTTGTCGTTCCGTGTGTAACACCAAGAAATATTCATCTAAGACCCAACAAAGTATATATATTCAGGGTCCTTATGAAATTCAGAGTCGATTTAGCTATGTCCGTCTGTCCGTCTGTCTGTCTGTCTGTCTGTCTGTGTAAAACACGCTCACGTTAAAACTAAGCAAAGGAAATCAACCAAATTCATCCAAAGTATTTATTATTATCCTAAGCAGTTTGGTATTGAAAATCAGCAAAATCGGTTCACAACGTAAAAAGTTATGAGTAAAAATTTCAGACTACCTCGAAAAAAATTCCGTTTTTTTCATAATTCTTTTGAAGTTTTCTCAGAAACTACCAAAGATATTTCGATGAATTTTGTCACACATTATTTTTCATGGCAATGATCAATTATGTTGAAAATCTTTAGAATCGATCCAATATTTCCCATAGCCCCCATACAAAGGTATATATTCCCGGAAATTAGTTTATCGTTAATAACTCCTTCAAATATATCGGTATCAATACAAAGTCTTGTACATGCAAATATAATATGAACAGAAATCATACTATCAACGCAGATCTCAGTCGGTCCACAATTGGCCATAGCTCCCATACAAGGTCCACTTCCGAAAATCACCTAAATGCACATATTTTAATAATGTATAATGCTATTGTGATAAAATTCGAGTTAAATATGTTTTGTGTACATACAAATCATTCTACCAAATTTTTTACGGATCGGTCCATTATTGGTCATAGCTCCCATATAAGGCCCACTTCCAAAAATCATTTAAAAGCTCATATTTCATTGTCATATTAAGCTATCTTGATGAAATTCGACACAAATATGTTTAGTCTAAATATAAAACACTCTACGAAATTTTTTCCGGATAGGTCCATAATTGGTCATAGCTCCCATATATAGTCCCCTTCCGAAAATCACTTAAACGCATATATTTCATTGAATTATAAAGCTATCGGGATAAAATTCGACACAAATCTGTTTTGTATGCATACAAATCTTTCTAGATAATTTTTTACGGATCGGTCCATTATTGGTCAAATTCGACAAAAATGCGTTTTGTGTACATTCAAATCATTTCACCAAATTTTTTACGGATCGGTCCATTATTGGTCATAGTTACCATATAAGGCCCACTTCCGAAAATCACTTAAATGCTCATATTTCATTGTCAAATAAAGCTATCGTGATAAAATTCGACACAAATATGTTTTGTCTTTATATGAGTCACTCTACGAAATTGTTTTTTCCGGATAGGCTCCCATAGAGGTTCCACTTACGAAAACCACTTAAACGCACATATTTCTTTGAATAATAAAGCTGTCTGATAAAGTACGGCTTAAATATGTTTTGTGAGCATATAAATCATTCTACCAATTTTTTTCCGGATTGTTCCATATATGGTAATAGCTCCTTCAAAAAAATCACTTAAACTTAAATATTTCATTATCAAATAAAGATATCTTGATAAAATTCGACACAAATATATTTTGTGTAAGGTCATAGCTTCTATACATATAAAGTCCACTTCCGAAAATCACCTAAACGCACATATTTCATTAATTAATAAATGTATTGTAGTAAAATTCGACTTGAATTTTTTGGCTTTAAATCATTATACAAAATTTTTTCCTTATCGGTTGATAATTGGTCACAACTCCCATATAAGGACCATTTCCGAAAATTACTCAAATGCACATTAACAATCAAAGTTATCGGGATAAAATTCAACATAAATGTGTATTTTGTATATAAAAATCATTCTACGGAATTTTTTTCCAGATCGGTCCATAGGTTGTCTTAGCTCCCATATAAGGTATACTTCTAAAAATCACTTAATACCACTTAATTCGTAATTGAATGATTATATCCGGATAAAATTCAAAATGAGTATGTTCTGTGTACAGATAAACCATTATATTAAAATGTTTTCAAACTGGCCTATTAATATACATTTCTCTCGTCCTAATTAAAATTAGTTTGACATATGCATATATATTAGTACCCTTAATAAGGAAACAAAAATTTTGCCAAGTTTTCTAAAAATTAGATAGTTAAATGGGTTTCAATAAAAAGTAGCTTGCTGGTGGAGGGTATTTAAGATTCGGCATAGCCGAATATAGCATTCTAACTTGTTTTTGAATAAAATTGTTGATATTTAAGTGAAATTGTTGATATTTAGGGTCACATAATTATAAAATTCATGAGGGTCATCAAGGCTAGTATAGAACCTGGGTTTACAGATTTTTGTCGAGATACGAGTATACTAAACATAATTATTAACTTAAAAGCCCTATTCGGCAGTTTCAGTTGTATGGGGGCTAGGTGAAATAATAGACCGATGTTACCCATTTTCAATAGGCTTCGTTTCCACGGACATAGCTAAATCGTCTCAGAAAATAATTCTAAGCCGATTGGTATACTTTAAGGTGGATATAGGGCCAATATTATTGTGAGTTACAAACATCAGCACAAACTCAATATACCCTCCCCATTAAAGTGGTGTAGGGTATAATTATCAAGTCGGTTAAAAATCATGCCATAGAATTTTATAAATGATTTATTTCGATATCTGGTGCACACTTGGAGTAGGTGCCACGAAATTTCCTATTGTCTGTGCTGGTGAGTTTTCGAGTTGATTTACAGTTTTTTGGCTTTGTAGGTGAAATGGAGGCCAGTGTAAGTGGCTTTTCAAAAATGATAAACTTGCAAAACATTTAAAACAATGATAGATGGACTTGGTTAAGTCAATCTATCAACTTTCCCATTTCTTCTAATGTAGGCATTTGAATATGACTAAAAAATAGATAGATAAAAAGATAAAAGTTGCAAATATCCAATGATATATATTATACCATCCCCTCTATAGTTTACTTTACAATTTAAAAGGGTAGTTAATTAGAGTTCATTAAAAAACCTTATTCTAAAAATATACATTGCGCTTCGAAGATAATAATTTTTTTTTTAACAACTTTTATAACTTACAGAGACGAAACTTTAGAGGCCTTAAGTGATGCTCAAGTAGTTGCACCAGCTGCTCAAACTGTGGACCTGCACTCTGCAGATCATCGAAATTCGTATTTATATGTATTTGATTATCAAACTAGATACGGGGATTATCCACAGGTAAGTTAAAAAAAACAGAAACAAAAAGAATGTTAAATTGAGAAAATTTCTAAAAATCTAAATTTAAAAATATAACATAAACATCCACTATACTTAATTCGTTTAATTAATAGTTATTAGCGAAAAATTAATTCAATTTAATTTAAAAATAAATAATCAAACAAATAACATATTATAATGTATAATGCATACAATAAACCCCCCTAGCGTATGAGTGTTATAGAATTTAAAATTACATTAAGTATCAATCATACGTCAAGTATAAGTACAAAACTAAAACCATGAAATATCAATTATTAAGTGGTAGAAAAATGGTGAAAAACAAAACATCATGACATTATGCATACATTGTACAATGTACAGCAAAAATATCAATCAAACAATTTATCTAAAAAAAATATTTTATTAAAATTAAAAATTTTCATGCAAATTCTATATTTTATATTTTTATCTGTTTTAGCGTCAAGGTTGTATACATGGTGAGGATTTGCCATATATATTTGGTGCTCCACTAGTGGGTGGTTTCAATCATTTTACTCGTAATTATACTAAAACAGAGATAAGCCTATCGGAGATAGTCATGCTGTACTGGTCGAATTTTGTGAGAACGGGGTAGGTGTTGGAAAAATTGCTAACAATTTTTATTTAATTAAAAATAAGGCAAATTATTTGAGCAGTTTATTTTATTTAAATTTTGTTTTATTCTATTCATTTTAGTAATCCCAATGAGCAAATGGAAAGTGATCATGGTAGTCGACAGGAGAGAAGTCGCTATAAAATCATCGAATGGACTGCCTATGAAAGTGTTCATAAGAAATATTTAAATTTTGGTAAGTTTTCTAAATTGGAATGACTAAATTTTCCATAAATAATTTTTATAAAATTTTTAAGATATTTAAAAAAAAAATTTTGATTTTTTTTAGAAAAATTATTAAATTTGTTTTATATATTTTTTTTTTTCTATTTTATTTACACTTTACACCTTTAGACACTAAACCCAAACTTAAAAATCACTATCGCGCCCATCGCTTATCCTTTTGGCTGAATCTAATACCGGATCTACACAAGCCAGGTGGTGACAACGTGCCCGCCTCACATCATCAACTCAGCGATGATGATGAAATGGACAACAATATTGCCAGTGATGCTTCCATTAAACCCCTTAATCCACCCTATTCACCGGGTATAGGAAATCCTGCCTTAGGGAATTTCAGCATATTCACCAATCAGGTATTCTCCTTGCTAAATCTTAGTTCACCATCATCATCGCTGCAGCGTAATGGTACACGCTATACTGGAAGTAAAATGTATCCGGATGATATGATGGACGGTGATGGTCATGGTGGCTCACAGGCTTCGCAAGATAGTGATAGTTTCGCAGCCTATTCGACAGCTTTAAGTGTAACCATAGCCATAGGTTGTAGTTTGCTAATACTAAATGTGCTGATATTTGCTGGTGTTTATTATCAACGTGACAAGACTAGACTAAATGAACCGAGATCACAGACAAAACTGAAAAGACAGGAGAGTGGTCAAATGCCCAATAATATTTGTGGCGATCTCGAGACTCTAACCATACACAGTAAAAGTGATCCTGCGACCATATTATCACATCATCATGCTTTACAGCATCATCAACTGCCACCGCCAGAATTTGCCGATATACCTCATCGAGCACCACCACCACCGAAACACATGAAATCCCTGCAGGATCCTGGAGGTGGAGGAGTGGGTGTGGGTGGTAATGGCTCAGCATCTACAGCCACAATTATGGGTTTAATGCCACCACCTCATGCGCTGCAGGTAATGGGCAATCAGTGTGGTACTTTAACGAAAAAAAGTTGCATGAAACAATCCTCTCTACAGCAGCAACAGCAACAACTTAGCCATCAACAGCAGCAGCAGCAGCAACAACAACAACAGCAGCAACAACAAATGATTGTAACACATCAGCATCAAATGCAAAATTCTCATAATCAAACAATGACAACCTCATTGACTGGGGCGGGTCCACCGCCGCCTCCACCCACCGTACAAGTTAGTACAGCTCAATCAATGCAACAGCATCATTTGCAACAACAGCAGCAGCAACAACAACAGCAACAATCCCAACAACATCCATTAATGGACGAACTAAGAGTGTGACATTAATTAACCGTACGTTTTAAATGTGATCTCTAATATAAAACAACAACAACAAACAAAAACAAAAATACTCAAATTAAATCAAACTTTCCTCTTCCACAACAATTTACAACTTGTCTTGTGTTAATTTTGAACTTTTTGTCCATCTACCTAGAGATTACATTAGCGTGCGTTTCACTTTTTGTTTTTTAATTTTATAGATTTTTATTTTCTAGCTAAAATAGTCAAATAAAATACGGAAAACATAAAACAAAATGTTATAGTAAACATTTCAAATACTACTTAAATATACCAAAGAGGAAAACCAAAATATCCTTTAACGAGAAATTATTGTAAATGTTAAGTTACTAACTGAAAGAAAATATATATTTTTCTTGATGTTAAAACTGTTGTTTCTAACCCTTTTTCCCCTATTTAGAAATTCTGTGTATATATGTTTAGTATAAATAATTAAATAAATAAATTAAGAGTAAGTAAATGTTAGTTAATTATTTAATAAAAATAAAAGACAAAAGAAATCCTTTTTACCATTAGGACCAAAAAAAAAAAAAAACAGAAATATTTCTTTAATTATTTCAATATTTTATACGAGTATATTAGTAGTTTTAAACTTAGTTTTTTACAATCGACTATTTTAACTCTTTTAAATTACTTTACCTCCTTAACATAAATTCTAAAAACTATACTTTGTTAATTCTTTTTTTAATTTTATTTACTCTATTTGGTTTTAAAACTTACTTAACAGCTGCTTATAAGATGTTTCACATTTCGAAATATTTCCTTCTTGACTCTTTTGAACCCTTATGATATTACCGCTAAGATGCCCTTGAGAAATTTATTTAATCCAGTATATACACTCTGAGTAACTTTTATAAAGAAATTTGCAGATATCATTTTCTATGGAAACCTATTTTATACATAGAAAAGATTATTTCAAAGACTGTTGATATTTTCTTCAGCTTAAATATTAGCGACCAACTTTTATCAGAAGGACTGTTGATAACACAATTATAAATATAGTGCACAAAAGTTTGCTTTTCGGACTATCTGTGTAACAGTGTGTGTCATCCCGCAGAAACCAAAGGTGATGACGGCTTATATTTTTTATTTAAGTTCATTTAATGCCGGCAATCGCGGCTTTGTAAAGGTGCCATTGAAAGGATTGGCATTTCAGTATTTGCAATCTTTCTGCCACTGCAGCAAGTATCCTGACAGTTCAGTTAGCACAACAATTTCTTTGGAAATAATATTGTAATATTTTCCAACGTTGTTCAACTGAAAAGTGATTCATTTTTCGTTCACAAATCTAAGTATGCTTTATAAAGGTACAAGTTGGGTCAACCTACATAAACACTCGAAAAAATAACTCCAAACAATCTATTAGAAGGTCCAGCGTTGAATGTGAGAAATTTAGCTGTATATTAAGCACAGACAGCTTACTTTCAAAAATCTTTAAAATTCTCAGATCGATTCAACTAATTTTAAAAATATTTTGAAAAAAAACTTATGGACTATATATTCGATTTTCCGTAGGAGGTGCTAATATAAAAGTTATATCAAAATGTAAGTATTTGAACCCAGATAAAAACTTTCATTAGTCTTAAAAAATAAGTCAAAAACAGCAAAGAATTCCTTCAGCAAATATATGTTATTTGAGCCACTTGAGGAAACTATTTGGGCTAGAATCCTCAAAGTTTGTATAGACACATTGTAATCCATAAGAAGATTTGGAAAAAATAACAGGTAGCAGTGCTCAAATCATGTTCATGTAGCTTTAGTTTATGGATATTTGATTGATAAATAAGTGGACTAACATAGTGGGCGTGGCACTTTCTATATACATTAAATAAAAAATTCATTCAGGATCCTCAAATTTAGCATGAACATTTTTGGTGAAAAATTGACCGAACTATTAATAGTGGTTGTAGCGCTTTTTACACAAAGTAAGCAAGCAAGACCATCTGATACCCTACATCACTTATTTCACTTATTTGTAATAAACAATTTATATTAAAGCTTGAATTGATTTAGATATAATTAAAGAACTTATTGATTTTTGAAAGAGGATATATTTAGGGGCAAGAATATCAATGTCTTTAACGTGAAAATCTGCGTTGGCCGCTTATTTCACGTAGTCTTTTTCATCTACAGGATGGACTTAGAAGGTTCCACCACTCGCCTCTGAGTGCCTTCAATGAAAACGTTCAAGTGGTACTTCTTCGTACATTGTCCTACCGGTCGATTCACTAGCATCCTACTCAAGTACTTGAGCTATCTAATGTCTTACCATAGTGGTCCCGTTGCGCAATGACAGGCAACATGACATCAATCCCAATACATACCCCGACAAAGAAAAAGCAATCACTAGTCTAAAGTCAATAAAAGGTGCGACTCGAATATCAAGTGAAATCAATCTTCTGGTTTCTCACGCCAGAAGGTGACCACCCATTTGATGCCATGAAAGATTGCATTATTTAAAGTGTAATAATAGGTGAAATAATGAACTTATATCAAACAATATCAATAGAATTCGTCCTTGAGTCAAAATTAAGACGAGTATAAAATTTCATAGAATTATCTTAAATTACGATATGAACTTAAGTTACGTGGACATACAGACGGACAATGATTTAACGACTAAAAAAGATTCTAAACCATAGTCGACCCTAAATGCCATATAAGGTTCGCTTCAGAAGTGAATACTACAAACATAGTTGTTTCCCATTTAATATTTTTTTATACCCTCCACCACCATCAGTGGTGATAGAGGGTATATATAACTTTGTCATTCCGTGTGTAACACCAAGAAATATTCATCTGAGACCCAACAAAGTATATATATTCTGGGTCCTTATCAAATTCTGAGTCGATTTAGCTATGTCCGTCTGTCCGTCTGTCTGTGTAAAACACGCTCACGATAAAACGAAGCAATAGAGCTTAACCAAATTCACCCAAAATGTTCTTCATTTTCCTAAGTTGTTTGGTATTGCAAATGGGCAAAATCGGTTCACACCGGGTAAAGTTATGAATCAAAATTTAAAACAACCTCGGAAAAAAATAAGCATTTTTTACACATTCTGATATAGTTTTCTCAAAAACTATGCAAGATCATTCCATGGAAATCACCATAAATTCGTTTCTGCACAAGATCTTGATCCCTGCTGAAAATTGCCAGAATCGGTCCACAATTTCATATACCTCCCATACAAAAGTACATATTCCCGGAAAATGGGTTTTTTGTTAATAACTTCCGCCACAATGTCGATATCTTCACAAAATTTTACAAATTAAAATCTTATGTCAATAGAATTCTTCCAGAGGAAAAATTTTATGGATCGGTCCATAATTGGACATAGCTCCCATACAAGGTCCCCTCCCGAAAATCACTTAAACGCGCATAACTCATTACTAAATTAAGATATCCAAATAAAATTTGGTATAAGTATTGCCCATATGCATAGAAATATTACTGTGACATTTTTTTCCGATCGGTCCATAATTGGTCATAGCTCCCATACAAGGTCCCCTCCCGAAAATCACTTAAACGCGCTTAACTCATATTTAAATTAAGATATCCGTATCAAACTTGGTACAAATATTACTCATATCCACAGAAATATTGTTGTGAAATTTTTTTCCGATCGGTCCATAGTTGATCATAGCTCCCATACAAGGTCCCCTCCCGCAAAACCACTTAAACGCGCATAACTCATTACTAAATTAAGATATCCAAACAAAATTTGGTGTAAGTATTGCCCATATGCATAGAAATATTACTGTGAAATTTGTTTCCGATCGGTCCATAATTGGTCATAGCTCCCATACAAGGTCCCCTCCCGAAAATCACTTAAACGCGCATAACTCATTACTAAATTAAGATATCCATATAAAATTTGGTATAAATATTGCCCATATGCATAGAAATATTACTGTGAAATTTTTTTTCGATCGGTCCATCATTGGTCATAGCTCCCATACAAGGTCCCCTCCCGAAAATCACTTAAACGCGCATAACTCAGTACTAAATTAAGATATCCATATAAAATTTGGTACAAATATTACTCATATCCACAGAAATATTGTTGTGAAATTTTTTTCCGATCGGTCCATAGTTGATCATAGCTCCCATACAAGGTCCCCTCCCGAAAATCACTTAAACGCGCATAACTCATTACTAAATTAAGATATCCAAATAAAATTTGGTGTAAGTATTGCCCATATGCATAGAAATATTACTGTGAAAGTTTTTTCCGATCGGTCCATAATTGGTCATAGCTCCCATACAAGGTCCCCTCCCGAAAATCACTTAAACGCGCATAACTCAGTACTAAATTAAGATATCCATATAAAATTTGGTATAAGTATTGCCCATATGGATAGAAATATTACTGTGAAATTTGTTTCCGATCGGTTCATAATTGGTCATAGCTCCCATACAAGGTCCCCTCCCGAAAATCACTTAAACGCGCATAACTCAGTACTTAATTAAGATATCCATATAAAATTTGGTATAAATATTGCCCATATGCATAGAAATATTACTGTGAAATTTTCTTTCGATCGGTCCATAATTGGTCATAGCTCCCATACAAGGTCCCCTCCCGAAAATCACTTAAACGCGCATAACTCAGTACTTAATTAAGATATCCATATAAAATTTGGTATAAATATTGCCCATATGCATAGAAATATTACTGTGAAATTTTTTTCCGATCGGTCCATAATTGGTCATAGCTCCCATACAAGGTCCCCTCCCGAAAATCACTTAAACGCGCATAACTCAGTACTAAATTAAGATATCCATATAAAATTTGGTATAAGTATTGCCCATATGCATAGAAATATTACTGTGAAATTTGTTTCCGATCGGTCCATAATTGGTCATAGCTCCCATACAAGGTCCCCTCCCGAAAATCACTTAAACGCGCATAACTCAGTACTAAATTAAGATATCCATATAAAATTTGGTATAAATATTGCCCATATGCATAGAAATATTACTGTGAAATTTTCTTCCGATCGGTCCATAATTGGTCATAGCTCCCATACAAGGTCCCCTCCCGAAAATCACTTAAACGCGCATAACTCATTACGTAATTAAGATACCCATATGGTACAAATATTACTCATATGCATAGAAATATTACTGTGAAATTTTTTTTCCGATCGGTCCATAATTGGTCATAGCTCCCATACAAGGTCCCCTCCCGAAAATCACTTAAACGCGCATAACTCAGTACTAAATTAAGATATCCATATAAAATTTGGTATAAATATTGCCCATATGCATAGAAATATTACTGTGAAATTTGTTTCCGATCGGTCCATAATTGGTCATAGCTCCCATACAAGGTCCCCTCCCGAAAATCACTTAAACGCGCATAACTCAGTACTAAATTAAGATATCCATATAAAATTTGGTATAAATATTGCCCATATGCATAGAAATATTACTGTGAAATTTTCTTCCGATCGGTCCATAATTGGTCATAGCTCCCATACAAGGTCCCCTCCCGAAAATCACTTAAACGCGCATAACTCATTACGTAATTAAGATACCCATATGGTACAAATATTACTCATATGCACAGAAATATTACAGATAATTTTTTTTCCGATCGGTCCATAATTGGTCATAGCTCCCATACAAGGTCCCCTCCCGAAAATCACTTAAACGCGCATAACTCAGTACTAAATTAAGATATCCATATAAAATTTGGTATAAATATTGCCCATATGCATAGAAATATTACTGTGAAATTTGTTTCCGATCGGTCCATAATTGGTCATAGCTCCCATACAAGGTCCCCTCCCGAGAATCACTTAAACGCGTATAACTCATTACTAAATTAAGATATCAATATAAAATTTGGCACAAGTATTACTCATATGCACAGAAATATTACTGTGAAAATTTTTTTTCGATCGGTCCATAATTGGTCATAGCTCCCATACAAGGTCCCCTCCCGAAAATCACTTAAACGCGCATAACTCATTACGTAATTAAGATACCCATATGGTACAAATATTACTCATATGCACAGAAATATTACAGATAATTTTTTTTCCGATCGGTCCATAATTGGTCATAGCTCCCATACAAGGTCCCCTCCCGAAAATCACTTAAACGCGCATAACTCAGTACTAAATTAAGATATCCATATAAAATTTGGTATAAATATTGCCCATATGCATAGAAATATTACTGTGAAATTTGTTTCCGATCGGTCCATAATTGGTCATAGCTCCCATACAAGGTCCCCTCCCGAAAATCACTTAAACGCGCATAACTCATTACTAAATTAAGATATCCATATAAAATTTGGTATAAATATTGCCCATATGCATAGAAATATTACTGTGAAATTTTTTTCCGATCGGTCCATAATTGGTCATAGCTCCCATACAAGGTCCCCTCCCGAAAATCACTTAAACGCGCATAACTCAGTACTAAATTAAGATATCCATATAAAATTTGGTACAAATATTACTCATATCCACAGAAATATTGTTGTGAAATTTTTTTCCGATCGGTCCATAGTTGATCATAGCTCCCATACAAGGTCCCCTCCCGATAATCACTTAAACGCGCATAACTCATTACTAAATTAAGATATCCAAATAAAATTTGGTGTAAGTATTGCCAATATGCATAGAAATATTACTGTGAAAGTTTTTTCCGATCGGTCCATAATTGGTCATAGCTCCCATACAAGGTCCCCTCCCGAAAATCACTTAAACGCGCATAACTCAGTACTAAATTAAGATATCCATATAAAATTTGGTATAAGTATTGCCCATATGCATAGAAATATTACTGTGAAATTTGTTTCCGATCGGTCCATAATTGGTCATAGCTCCCATACAAGGTCCCCTCCCGAAAATCACTTAAACGCGCATAACTCAGTACTAAATTAAGATATCCATATAAAATTTGGTATAAATATTGCCCATATGCATAGAAATATTACTGTGAAATTTTCTTCCGATCGGTCCATAATTGGTCATAGCTCCCATACAAGGTCCCCTCCCGAAAATCACTTAAACGCGCATAACTCAGTACTTAATTAAGATATCCATATAAAATTTGGTATAAATATTGCCCATATGCATAGAAATATTACTGTGAAATTTTTTTCCGATCGGTCCATAATTGGTCATAGCTCCCATACAAGGTCCCCTCCCGAAAATCACTTAAACGCGCATAACTCATTACTAAATTAAGATATCAATATAAAATTTGGCACAAGTATTACTCATATGCACAGAAATATTACTGTGAAAATTTTTTTCGATCGGTCCATAATTGGTCATAGCTCCCATACAAGGTCCCCTCCCGAAAATCACTTAAACGCGCATAACTCATTACGTAATTAAGATACCCATATGGTACAAATATTACTCATATGCACAGAAATATTACAGATAATTTTTTTTTCCGATCGGTCCATAACTGGTCATAGCTCCCATACAAGGTCCCCTCCCGAAAATCACTTAAACGCACATAACTCATTACTAAATTAAGATATCCATATAAAGTTTGGTAAAAATATTGCTCATATACAGAGAAATATTACTGTGAAATTGTTTTCCTATCGATCCATAATTGATCATAGCTCCCATACAAGGTCCCTTTCAGAAAAACACTTAAAGGCACATAACTCATTACCAAATAGTGATATAAATAAATACTATTTTTGTTCATAAATAATATTTTGTAATGCAAAAAGCACTTAATGCTATTTCAAAAATTTTTCACGATCGGTCTATATTTGGTCATATCTCTCATACTAGGTCCTGCCCCTAAAAGCGCTTT